AATTATCGATTAGTGTGGCTCACTGACACACAGTGTACTATGAAAAAAACAAATGTGAAAAGGAATGAATAATAAAAACACAACAACAACAACAAAAAGCACTGAAAAATAGCGATGGCCCACTTGTATATTTTTTCACTTCATTGATTGCGAAAAAAATCAGTTTTCTATTATAGATTTTTATGATTTTTATATGTTAATAATTTTTTCATTAAATTTGGTTGTTTCTAATTCTTTTTAAGTAAATATTATTATTTTTCTCTTAAAATTCCTTTAGTAAACTTTAAAATTTAGCTTTGCTTGTACTTGCTGCCAATATTGATTATTTTATGTTGTAAAAATTTGTTTTTTTAATTTAGAAATCTTGACTGTTATTATCTTTTATTATAACATTATTTTTCAATTTTCTTTCCGAATTTCTTTCATTTATTTTTAATTTCTTTATTTAAATTATTATTTTATGTATAATATTAATATTTTTTTTTTCAAGTTCACTAAATATTTTTCTTAATGAAATTTTCAGATTTTTCACTTTCGGTGTTTAGATGACAACTAAAGGGAAAAATCTTTTCTTCGTTCACCACACACAATCACAAGACGACAAAAGAAAATATTTGGCAGGTGGTTGATGGTAAAAAAAGAGCTTTTGAAAGCTTTTAAGAACACAGAAAAAGCTGGATGAAATATGTTAGGCTGTATTCGAATCTAAAATACCCACCACCGTGGGTTGTATTGTATTATAATTATAGGATTTTCAGTTATATTTATTCTTTATAGGAATGTTAGAGTAGTAGAATGTAGACTAGACTATAGACTGGACTATAGACTGGACTATAGACTAAACTATAGACTAGACTATAGACAAGACTATAGACTAGACTATAGACTAGACTATAGACTAGACTATTGACTCGACTATAGACTCGGCTATAGACTAGACTATTGACTCGGCTATAGACTCGACTATAGACTCGACTATAGACTCGACTATAGACTCGACTATAGACTCGACTATAGACTCGACTATAGACTCGACTATGACTCGACTATAGACTCGACTATAGACTCGACTATAGACTCGACTATAGACTCGACTATAGACTCAACTATAGACTCGACTATAGACTCGACTATAGACTTAACTATAAACTCGACTATAGACTCGACTATAGACTTGACTATAGACTCGACTATAGACTCGACTATAGACTCGATTACAGACTCGACTATAGATTAGACATAATAGTCCATTATCTGGCTAAACTAGGGGCTCTAGGGCAAAAACAATTAAAATCTGTGATCACTTTTGGATTTTTTAGTGAAAACATAAATATCCATTTTTTGGCTAAACTAGAGGTCTTACGACAAAAACAATTAAAATCTGTGATCACTTTTATTTCCCAACAAAAAATCGATTTTTTAGTGATTTTTGAGCGAAAACATAAAAATTCATTTTCTGGCTAAACTAGAGGCCCTACGACAAAAACAATTAAAATCTGTGATCACTTTTATTTCCCACTAAAAATCTATTTTTAAGTGATTTTTGAGTGAAAACATAAAAGTCCATTTTTTGGCTAAACTAAAGGCCCTACGACAAAAACAATTAAAATCTGTGATCACTTTTATTTCCCACTAAAAATCGATTTTTAAGTGATTTTTGAGTGAAAAACATAAAAGTCAATTTTTTGGCTAAACTAGAGGCCCTAGGATAAAAACAATTCAAATCTGTGATCACTTCTATTTCCCACTAAAAATCGATTTTTTAGTTATTTTTGAGTGAAAATATAAAAGTCCATTTTCTGGCTAAATTAGAGGCCCTAGGACAAAAACAATTAAAATCTGTGATCACTATTATTTCCCACTAAAAATCGATTTAGTGATTTTTGAGTGGCTAAATTAGAGGCCCTAGGACAAAAACAATTAAAATCTGTGATCACTTCTATTTCCCAACAAAATCGATTTTTTAGCGATTTTTGAGTGAAAACATAAAGAGTCCATTTTCTGGCTAAACTAAAGGCCCTACGACAAAAACAATTAAAATCTGTGATCACTTTTATTTCCCAACAAAAATCGATTTTTTTAGTGATTTTTGAGTGAAAACATAAAAGTCCATTTTCTGGCTAAACTAAAGGCCCTACGACAAAAACAATTAAAATCTGTGATCATTTTTATTTCCCACCAAAAACTGATTTTTTAGTGATTTTGAGTGAAAACATAAAAATCCATTTTCTGGCTAAACTATAGGCCCTACGACAAAAACAATTAAAATCTGTGATTACTTTTATTTCCCACTAAAAATCGATTTTTTAGTGATTTTTGAGTGAAAACATAAAAGTCCATTTTCTGGCTAAACTGAAAGCCCTAGGACAAAAACAATTAAAAGCTGTGATCATTTTTATTTCCCACCAAAAATTGACTTTTTAGTGAAAACATAAAAGTCCATTTTCTGGCTAAACTAAAGGCCCTAGGACAAAAAACAATTAAAATCTGTGATCACTTCTATTTCCCAACAAACTCCGATTTTTTAGTGATTTTTGAGTGAAAACATAAAAGTCCCATTTTCTGGCTAAACTAAAGGACCTAGGACAAAAACAATTAAAATCTGTGATCACTTCTATTTCGCACTAAAAATCTATTTTTTAGTGATTTTTGAGTGAAAACATAAGATTCCCTTTTTCTGGCTTAACTAAAGGCCCTACGACAAAAACAATTAAAATCTGTGATCACTTTTTAGTGATTTTTGAGTGAAAACATAAAAGTCCATTTTCTGGCTAAACTAAAGGCCCTAGGACAAAACAATTAAAATCTGTGATCACTTCTATTTCCCAACAAAAATCGATTTTTAAGTGATTTTTAGTGAAAACATAAAAGTCCCTTTTCTGGCTAAAACTAAAGGCCCCTAGGACAAAAATAATTAAAATCTGTGGTCACTTCTATTTCCCACTAAAAATCGATTTTAAGTGATTTTTAGTGAAAACATAAAAGTCCATTTTTGGCTAAACTAAAGGCCCTAGGACAAAAAACAATTAAAATCTGTGATCACTTCTATTTCCCACTAAAAATCGATTTTTTTAGTGATTTTTGAGTGAAAACATAAAAGTCCATTTTCTGGCTTAACTAAAGGCCCTACGACAAAAACAATTAAAATCTGTGATCACTATTATTTCCCACTAAAAATCGATTTTTTAGTGATTTTTGAGTAAAAACATAAAAATCCATTTTCTGGCTAAATAGAGGCCCTACGACAAGACCAATTAAAATCTGTGATCACTTCTATTTCCAACAAAAATCGATTTTTTAGCGATTTTTGAGTGAAAACATAAAAGTCCATTTTCTGGCTAAACTAAAGGCCCTACGACAAAAACAATTAAAATCTGTGATCACTTTATTTCCACTAAAAATCGATTTTAAGTGATTTTTTAGTGAAAACATAAAATTCCCTTTTCTGGCTAAACTAAGGCCCTAGGACAAAAACAATTAAAATCTGTGATCACTTCTTTTTCCCACTAAAATCGATTTTTTAGTGATTTTTAGTGAAAACATAAAAGTTCCATTTTCTGGCTAAACTAAAGGCCCTAGGACAAAAACAATTAAAATCTGTGATCACTTCTTTTTCCCACTAAAATCGATTTTTTAGTGAATTTTTGAGTGAAAACATAAAAGTCAATTTTCTGGCTTAACTAAAGGCCCTACGACAAAAACAATTAAAATCTGTGATCACTTCTATTTCCCACTAAAAATCGATTTTTTAGTGATTTTTGAGTGAAACATAAGAGTCCTTTTCTGGCTAAACTAAAGGCCCTACGACAAAACCAATTAAAATCTTGTGATCACTTCTATTTCCCAACAAAAATCGATTTTTTAGTGATTTTTGAGTGAAAACATAAAGTCCATTTTCTGGCTAAACTAAAGGCCCTAGGACAAAAACAATTAAAATCTGTGATCACTTTTATTTCCCACTAAAAATCGATTTTTAGTGATTTTTGAGTGAAAACATAAAAGTCAATTTTCTGGCTAAACTAAAGGCCCTACGACAAAAACAATTAAAATCTGTGATCACTTCTATTTTCCACTAAAAATCGATTTTTTTAGTGATTTTTGAGTGAAAACATAAAAGTCCATTTTTCTGGCTTAAACTAAAGGCCTTACGACAAAAACAATTAAATCTGTGATCACTTATATTTCCCACTAAAAATCGATTTTTTTTAGCGATTTTTGAGTGAAAACATAAAAGTCCATTTTCTGGCTAAACTAAAGGCCCTACGACAAAAACAATTAAAATCTGTGATCACTTTATTTCCCACTAAAAATCGATTTTTTAGTGATTTTTGAGTGAAAACATAAAAGTCCATTTTCTGGCTAAACTAAAGGCCCTACGACAAAAACAATTAAAATCTGTGATCACTTCTATTTCCCACTAAAAATCGATTTTTTAGTGATTTTTGAGTGAAAACATAAAAGTCCATTTTCTGGCTAAACTAAAGGCCCTACGACAAAAACAATTAAAATCTGTGATCACTTCTATTTCCCACTAAAAATCGATTTTTTAGTGATTTTTGAGTGAAAACATAAAAGTCCTTTTCTGGCTAAACTAAAGGCCCTAGGACAAAAACAATTAAATCTGTGATCACTTCTATTTCCCAACAAAATCGATTTTTTAGTGATTTTTGAGTGAAAACATAAAAGTCATTTTCTGGCTAAACTAAAGGCCCTACGACAAAAACAATTAAAATCTGTGATCACTTTTTAGTGATTTTTGAGTGAAAACATAAAAGTCCATTTTCTGGCTAAACTAAAGGCCCTACGACAAAAACAATTAAAATCTGTGATCACTATTTTTCCCAACAAAATTCGATTTTTTAGTGATTTTTAAGTGAAAACATAAAAGTCCATTTTCTGGCTAAATAAATTAATTTTAATGCTAACCTCGTTAAAAGGTTGTTGTCTTGACTACAGCGATCAGCTGTATTAATGACAACAGCTGACAAAGAAACAATCTGGAACTGGAACATACTAACATTTCACTTAAATAGAGTTTTTATTATAATTTTGTATATTTTTAACTTGTTAACAAATTATTAATGAATTTATATTTTTTACTAATTTATTTAATAAAATGAGTTATCACAATGAGGAGGAAGATGAGACAGACAAAGATACGGGCATGTTATTAAATCTAAGCCAAAAGTCGGGCATATTTGTGGGTATGTTGTGAAAACATAGAAAACTAAACATGCTATTAAAATGCTTATATTTATCTTAAAGCTGATCAAACTCCTACACCCACTAGACTCATAAAAAACTGCGAAGAAGTGGGTCTTTTTGAGGATTTAAAAAATGTAAATCCATTCGATGAAACATTTCGCAGAGCCTGTGAACAGAATGTACAACATACACCCAGCAGTCATCAGCAATTTCAGAATGATGAAAATTCTTTACACACGCCACAGGTATTTCCCCAATTCGATACAGCCGTTGAGGGTGGCATAGTAGCGGCTGAAGATTTGACAAAACAAACTCTAGATACTCCTGTGGTTTTAGATGTGGAAAGTGTAGAAAATATTTTAAATGCATCACCAAGCTAGTGTAAAACCCAAAAGTGCTGAGTGTTATGCCAACAAATATAGACCAATAGCTGAAAAAACCTGCTGCTAATACTGTACAACAGTCACACACGGGAATTACATTTTAACCCACTTCCCTACAGTTTATACAACCACAAGTTATAACCGTAACATTTCCAAATCCCACTATAGACTCTATCAATACTACTGCCAAACCAAACCAACAGCAACAGACGCTACAAACAAAGAAATCTTTAACAAAAACTAAACCTCTTATACTGCCCAAACTGTCAAACGACCAATATACATCTACCAAGATTCCACTACTATAACTACTTCTGGTTGTTCTTTCAACCTCCCCAACCCATTCGTCTACTCAGCCGGAGCCTAGCAGTGCCAGTTTAACACCCACATCACAATTACCCATCAAAGAGCGCCTAAAAGCTATTTTAAAGTCAATCTAGTAAAACAAGGCCCGCCGATTGGTCCGATAAATCTTGTAGCAGTAAACATTTGAATAGAAATTCTAAAAGCAATGGTCAACGGGTCTCTAAAGACGATACCATGGAACGTCGGAGAGCAGCTTCAAACCGTTTATCGCCATAAAATGCGCAATGAATACAAAGAGTTGCGTAAACAGAATACCGAACTACAAATTGAAAATAATAAACTCAAAGAGAGAATCAAAACAGTTGGAAATGGAAAATTCCAAATTAAAATCTGCTTCATTACAACCTGTTTTAGGTAAATAACTTCCAAAAATCTTTACTTTCAATTTCCCAATTTTTCATACATTTTATATTTTTTCAGCTTCGTCTTCATTACCTGCCCTTGGAGTACCCGCTCAAATACAAATTCCTGCCTCTACCATACACTTAGTTATGAACATACCCAAATTGGTGGTACCTTGCGGTACTAGCGATTTAAAATCCTAATTCAGCCATGCTGAAAAGTCCTTTAAGTTATAGTTTAGATAAAAAGTAGTCATTTTTTTTTTTAAAACCCATCTTGAGTGTTTTTGTGATAAATTCAGTGTTTTGAGTTACAATTATTTTCAATACAAGTCAGATTTATAGAAATTATTAAAACTTAACAAGATGGCTAGTATTAGGACAAAGCTATTGCTCTTAAAGAAAGTATTTCAAACGAATTTTTATTAGTTTGTACAGTGTTATATTGTAACTAAAATAATTTTAAAATTCTGACTTTTTTGTTTTCAAAACCAGTGTCATTATTAAACATAATTTTAAATTGACCCATAGACCCTTTAAATATTGATATTACAAGAATCACAGTGCCTTATTTTTTTTTAAATTTGTAGTCTTTTAATAAAGTCTGTATATAGAATTTATAATGTTATTGTTAATTATTTTTTTTAATCGGGACAAAATGTTTAACTTTAAAAGATATATGTTTTAAAAATCTATGAACTAGATAAATTTTAAAGAACTTTTAATCTTTACTCTTAAACTGAACTAGAACTGAACTAGAACTAACTAGAACTGAACTAGAACTGAACTAGAACTGAACTAGAACTGAACTAGAACTGAACTAGAACTGAACTAGAACTGAACTAGAACTGAACTAGAACTGAACTAGAACTGAACTAGAACTGAACTAGAACTGAACTAGAACTGAACTAGAACTGAACTAGAACTGAACTAGAACTGAACTAGAACTGAACTAGAACTGAACTAGAACTGAACCAGAACTGAACTAGAACTAGAACTGAACTAAACTGAACTAGAACTGAACTAGAACTGAACTAGAACTGAACTAGAACTGAACTAGAACTGAACTAGAACTGAACTAGAACTGAACTAGAACTGAACTAGAACTTAACTAGAACTGAACTAGAACTGCACTAGAACTGAACTAGAACTGAACTAGAACTGAACTAGAACTGAACTAGAACTGAACTAGAACTGAACTAGAACTGAACTAGAACTGAACTAGAACTGAACTAGAACTGAACTAGAACTGAACTAGAACTGAACTAGAACTGAACTAGAACTGAACTAGAACTGAACTAGAACTGAACTAGAACTGAACTAGAACTGAACTAGAACTGAACTAGAACTGAACTAGAACTGAACTAGAACTGAACTAGAACTGAACTAGAACTGAACTAGAACTGAACTAGAACTGAACTAGAACTGAACTAGAACTGAACTAGAACTGAACTAGAACTGAACTAGAACTGAACTAGAACTGAACTAGAACTGAACTAGAACTGAACTAGAACTGAACTAGAACTGAACTAGAACTGAACTAGAACTGAACTAGAACTGAACTAGAACTGAACTAGAACTGAACTAGAACTGAACTAGAACTGAACTAGAACTGAACTAGAACTGAACTAGAACTGAACTAGAACTGAACTAGAACTGAACTAGAACTGAACTAGAACTGAACTAGAACTGAACTAGAACTGAACTAGAATGAACTAGAACTGAACTAGAACTGAACTAGAACTGAACTGAACTGAACTAGACTGAAACTAGAAGCTGAACTAGAACTGAACTAGAACTGAACTAGAACTGAAACTAGAACTGAACTAGAACCTGAACTAGAACTGAACTAGAAACTGCACTAGAACTGACTAGAATGACTAGAACTGAACTAGAACTGAACTAGAACTGAACTAGAACTGAACTAGAACTGAACTAGAACTGAACTAGAACTGAACTAGAACTGAAACTAGAACTGAACTAGAACTGAACTAGAACTGAACTAGAACTGAACTAGAACTGAACTAGAACTGAACTAGAACTGAACTAGAACTGAACTAGAACTGAACAGAACTGAACTAGAACTGAACTAGAACTGAACTAGAATGAACTAGAACGAACTAGAACTGAACTAGAACTGAACTAGAACTGAACTAGAACTGAACTAGAAACTGACTAGACTACTAGGACTGAACTAGGATGAACTAGAACTGAACTAGAACTGAACTAGAACTGAACTAGAACTGAACTAGAACTGAACTAGAACTGAACTAGAACAGAACTAGAACAGAAACCTACTGAACTAGAACCTGAACTAGAACTGAACTAGAACTGAACTAGAACTGAACTAGAACTGAACTAGAACTGAACTAGAACTGAACTAGAACTGACTAGAACTGAACTAGAACTGAACTAGAACTGAACTAGAACTGAACTAGAACTGAACTAGAACTGAACTAGAACTGAACTAGAACTGAACTAGAAACTGAACTAGAAACTGAACTAGAACTGAAGTAGAACTGAAGTAGAACTGAACTAGAATTGAACTAGAACTGAATTAGAAGAGCTAGAACCGCACTAGAATTACTATATATTATAATCGTTATAAGTATAGATAAAAATCACTTCGAAATTACAAAGATTCATACTTTTTAAATAACAATTATACGTTAACAATCAAACGTTCATTGTGAGCACAATATACTCACGGTTTCATTCACCCAATCACCACTATTTGTTTACCAAATACCAAAATAAACAACTTCAATTCCAGCCTATTCCAGTCGCAACATTCTTTCAGTGTATTTTACGCATGACACATTATGTGTCATATTTTGTTTGTCACAAACGTACACACCACTGCAATGTTTTTCACATTTTCCAAATGGTTCCGCAATAGCGAACTAGAGAACTGAACTAGAATATATTATAAAACTGAAATAGAAATGAATTAGAACTAAACTAGAACTGCAGTATAACTAAATTAGAACTAAACTAGATATCCCAAGAGGAAAAATTTTAATGGATTTCAAAATGTTTTTAATTTTTATTGAAAATGAAATAATTATTATTAATTATAATTATAATTAATTTAAAAATTGTCTGACATTAATTAATTAATGTGAGACAATTTCTAAAAGTATTAAAAACTTTTTAACACTAAAAACAATAAATTCCTAAGAAATGTTTACAAAAACAACAATAATAAACAATTTTGACAACCAGGGCCAAATAGCAAGCTTTAAAAAATTAATCAGCTGTTGTCAGCATTGAGTCTACTTTATAAATTTAGTTTCAAAGGCGCATATACTGTTTGCCACAAACGTACACACAACTGTAATGTGTTTCACTTTTTCCAAATGGTTCCCTATTATTGATTTTCTTTACATTGTGCAAAAATTCTTTAACAGAGCAACGAAAAATTTTCATCTTACTTGCGCTACAAGCAGATAGAAAAATAAAATAAATTAATTGATTTTATTGCTAAAGAAAAAAAAAAAACTATAAACAAACAGATACCATGGGTGATAATGAACAAAAAGCTTTACAATTAATGGCAGATGCCGAAAAAAAATTATCCCAACAAAAGGGTCTATTTAGTTCTCTATTCGGTAATTCAAATAAAGTCGAGGAGGCCATAGAATGTTATCAAAGAGCTGGTAATATGTTTAAAATGTCCAAGAATTGGACTAAGGCGGGTGAGTGTTTCTGTGAGGCAGCCAGTCTGCACCAAAGGGCAGGCAGCCGTCATGATGCGGGTACCAATTTTGTAGATGCCTCAAATTGTTATAAAAAAGTCGATATAGATACGGCCGCATCATGTTTGTTAAAATCAATAGACATTTACACTGATATGGGTCGCTTTACTACGGCTGCCAAACATCATCAGAGTATTGCCGAAATGTATGAGGCCGATCCCAATACCTTAGCTAAAGCCATACAGCATTATGAACAGGCTGCCGACTATTTCAAGGGTGAGGAGTCGGTGTCCTCGGCCAATAAGTGTATGCTTAAAGTGGCTCAGTATGCTGCACAATTGGAGGACTATGAAAAGGCCGTCAATATCTATGAGCAAGTGGCCACCTCATCCTTGGAATCATCATTGCTTAAGCATTGTGCCAAGGAATATTTCTTTAGAGCTGCCTTGTGTCATCTTAGTGTCGATATCTTGAACTGTGAACATGCCTTGGAGAAGTATGTCAATCAATATCCAGCATTCCAGGATTCCCGAGAATATAAACTAGTTAAGACGCTTTGTGAACATTTGGAAGAACAGAATATTGAGGGCTTTACCGAAGCAGTTAAGAACTATGATAGTATTTCTCGTTTGGATCAATGGTATACCACCATACTATTGAGGATTAAAAAAGCCAACGATGAGGATCCCGATTTACGTTAAATTTCTGTAGATTTATTAAGTATAGAAAAAAGGAGTTGTAAGAGAAATAATATCAATTTTGCAATTACAACCAAATATATCCTCCTTTTAAGAATTCCCTCTATAATATCTCTTTAACAACACATTACATACATTAACTAACTAACAAAAACAAAACAAAATAAAAGAAAATATTAGCCAGTAATTGAAAATTGTTTTTTGTCTTTTAAATATAACTAAAATAAAATAAAAAAAAAGAATTATTCGATATTATATAATTATATAAAAAATTAACTTAATAAAATTGCAAAAATAAAATAAAAAAATTAAAGTAAATGAGAAAAATACTTAATATAAATTATATAAATGTATTTATATGTAATTAATCTTAATTCTTCATAATGTTTATCATTAAAAAAAAAAATGAAAAGGAAAAAAAGTATGTATTTACTTACCTAAAAGTGAACGAATTATTCCATGGATAAAATTAATTTAATGATGATGGTAAATTTAAATAAAGAATGCTTTAGACGCTACTAAAAACTTTGATGGGCGTTTTCCTTATTCATTAATTTTATTCACTTTCATGGGAAAGCATTTTATTATTTATTAGTATTTTTATGTGGTAAGCATTTTGAATTCATTTTGTATTTTATCCAATTTATGTTCAATATCATCTAAAAAATGATGACTAGGTGATTGGTTGATATCGCTAGTAGTTTGGGGAGTAGATAAGTAGATCTATAAAAGATTATATTATAAGTGAAATAATGAGAAATTAATTCAAATGATGAAAAAGTGTTAATGAGTAAAGTGAATTAATCTTCAGACATCTAAAGAACTAAATAAAAACTGAACTAGAACTGAGCAATAACTGAAGTATAAATGAGCTAGAAGTAATCTGGAACTTATCTAGAACTGAAGTAGAGCTGAGGTAGAACAGAACTAGAACTCAGCCAGAAGTAAATTAGAACTCAGCCAGAAGTGAATTCGAACTAAACTAGAACTGAACAAGAACAGAACTAGAACTGACTAGAACTGAGCTAAAACTGAACTAGATCTGAACTGGGACTGAACCAGAATCGAACAATAGATCTAGAACTGAACTTAAACTAAACTGGAACTGAACTAAAACTGAACCAAAACTAAACTAGAACTGAAC